AGAAATATACTCTTCAGAAATTTTCTTTGCTAGGGAATGTTGGTCAAAGTTTTTAAGGCCAGTAACGTATGATTTGAATGGGGAGTTAGTAGATGAAGATACCGCTGTGGCTCCTCATCAGATGCCTCCGCCACTTCTTGTTGACGGTGATGGTAACGAATATGCAATGGATATTCAGCGTTTGGTTCCGGGTAGAGATTATTTAAACGAAGTTGGTTTGCTTGAAGCAATTCATTGTGGCCACTTTGCCAGCCTGTTTAGTAATGATCATTTTGTTAAGGATTGTGCAAATGAAGGAGGTGTTCTTCCATCGCCGTGGTTAACAAGAGATCTGGTGCAGCGTCTTCCGCCTTCTACTATCAACATTTACAATTGCCGTACTGCGGCCTTAAGGGAACTGGAGATGAAAGACTTTGCCCGTGAGGCTTGTAAGAAGAAGCCACTTGATCTAGTCAGCGTTGAGGTAATTTTGCGAGCTATGTTTATTTTGATTGCAACTGTTTATGTTTATTTGCTGTTTAGAAATTGGGTTTTTTTGATTATATTTTTTAAAGACCTTTAAAATTTGGCAATTCTTAAAGTGCGTTAAATAGTGGTTTACGATATACCATTAACTGTTTTCGATTTTGAAGTAGTTTATCTCGGTCTGGATTTTTTTGCGAGGCATCGGTTGTTTGATTTTTTCTGCTTTATTAATGGAATTATTTCTTTTATTAGAGGGAGAAATGAAAACTTTTGTTGTTTTTGTTCATTTCTGCTTTCCAAATGCTAAGAAAGTTTATTCGATGTAGTGTGAACGAATCATTCTCACGATGTCGACACGTACCATGCTCTTGTATCACCTATTTTCATGTATTAATCTGAACTTTGATTTGTTTACTTGATGTACTTTCCTATCTTTAGTTTTATTATTCTCAATTCAACGGTGAAATGTAAACTTATATTTCTGAACTTTTGATCATCGTCATAAATATACCTGCAGCCAAATATCTGAACTTTTTTCAGCAGCCTCTTAGGCAGCCTGCTTCATTGTCAAAGCGAAGGAGTTTAGGTAATAACTTTTTATTTTTATTTTCCAGCTGATTCTTGTCAAGAGTTTCCTACGTAGACTTTTTCAGCACGTAATTCTGCTCGGCTAATTTATGCAAATGTTCAAAGGGTTTCTGAAGAACCTGAAGATGACGTGGGGTTGGAAGAACTGGTCACTTCAGAAAGCTCTGAAGATTCGACGTTTGATACGTCTTCTTCGTCTTCCTCTTCAGAGGATGAAGAAACTGAGCTTTCTGAAGAAGACACATCTGACAGCGATTACAGTCTTGGCTCAAATTTGCCTCTGGTAAGGGATGTTCGAAATTTGTTTATTGTAAATTTGGTCTGTTTAGGCACTTCTGAGTTTTTGATCGATTCAAATTGTGCTTTTAGCTATTTTTTATTTTAGCGACGTCGTAAAGTTCGCGATGGCAGCGTCAGTGACGAGAGTTGTCTTGATTCTCCGAAAAGAAGGTCTGTTCGAAGACGTAAGAAATCTGAAAATGGTCAGTGCTTCATTCTTAGTTGTTATATTCTTTGTGTCCCGGTCTTGTGTTTATCTTGGAAAATGAATTTTTCAATAGTTATTTTTGAGATTGTTTCAGATCCATTTTTTCCTGGGTTTAAATTGTCTGATTCAGTGCTGATTTTTTCTCAGATGATTTGTTGTTAAAAGCTCTATGCAACTCTTGTTATCCTAAACTTTTTAGGTTCCGAAGAAGAGAACAGTGAGCAGATAAACACCGATGGTTCTGAAGTACCTGAACCAAAGTCTGGTGGGCGCTCAGCTAGAGGCAGTACGCGAAGTACTAGATCTAGACGAAGATGGTTGTCTTCCTCGAGTGAGGTTACCGTCTCTACAGCTTCAGTTTCCACCGCTCCTACTGAATCTCCTCCTCAGAGAGCGACACGGAGTACAGCTTCTCCTGGGCCTTCTTCGTCAGCGGCGCGTCATTCTGCGACAATTATTGAATTCCCTTCCTGGATGCGTTTGTTTCGGCCGTGCCGATTTCCTTATATCGCTCAGATCGGGGATGTTGTTGTGTACTTCAGGCAAGGTTCGGTTTTTTTTTTGTTTTTTTTTTTTGGATATTAACTGGCGAATGTTCTCTAAATTGTAAGATGAGCTTAGAACTGGCTTTTTATTCTTTATTTTTGCTTGACCGAGTTTTGAATAATTCAGGTCATGAGCTGTATTTAAATGCTGTTGAGTCGCTTCGTTTATATTCGGTGACACAGCGGATGAGACCTTTAGCTCACTTGGATGCTGAGGAGATGTGTTTAGTTACTGAGGTTTGTTCTTTTTTTTAAAAATAGTTTGGGAAAATACGATTAATACTTCTATATGGTTTTAATCTGTGGAAGGATTAGGTGAAGTATGTGCGGAGGCCGTACAGACTGATTTCCGTCAAACTGGCACGTTTAGATGAAAACGAAACTCCGACTGGTCTTGTCTTTTCTGTCAAGTAATCAAGTTTATTTATATAAGTGTTTTTTTGTCAACGAGGGGAAGGTAGGAGAACAGAAATAAGTTTGCAAGGATTTGTAGCTGCGTCTGCTGAATGTTAGGAAAATTTAAGCTTTTTGTTTTTCTTTTTTACTGCGAAAAATGTCTATTATAAGCACTAAACTATAAAGTTAGGGACTGTGTCTGCCTGCACTTCTCAACACTCAGGTTACAACTTAGGGAATGCTAACAAGTTTTGTTTTAAGACGAGTCCTTCGAGTAGTCTACTAGTTTGATAACAAATTAGTTTGGTGGATAGTTTGTCAGCTACCGAAACTGGTCAGTATGTTTTGATTTACGGGGTAATTTTCAAATCTTTCAAGCGGGATACGTCTTTTATGTTTGCAAAAGGTTGGTGGGGTGAAGACCGTGATTTATTTTTCAGAACCGTCCTAAAAATAATAGAAATAATTTCCTTATTGAGCAGGAAGCGGTGCCATTGTGCTAATCACAAAAGTCTTTTTGGAACTCATGGTAGAGGGGGGCGATGCGAGTTCCAAACTATTGTCAGCATGCTTTAAATAATTTTGTCAGGAACCGCTGCTTATCATTTGTTTTCACGAGGTAAGGTTTTGAAGAAAATGATTTATCGTTCTCAGGAATCGGCGTTTGCTAATTTCAGTACATTATTGAAAGGGACAATGACATTTTTAAATTTTGGATTTTCACCACACCTAGGAAAGTTGCAGGTAAATCATTACAAGTATTACAGGTAGTCGTAGAAAATGTCCTGGTTGGGAATGCTAGTTTCTTATGGTGCTTCTTTAGTTCTTTCAATTGATACTGATTCTTGTAGTTTGCGTGACAATAACAACTTTTCCTGTACCATTTTTTAGAACTTTTTGGATACTCTACATATCTATGAAGTTTAATAGCACAAGCGGATCCCCATCTGAAAATTATGGAAGTTTTACTGGTTGCGGCTACAAAGTTCCTAACTTTATGCAGTTCACCTTGAAGTATTTTATTGTCTGTAGCTGGCTACGAAAGTTTTGAAATTTAAGCATTTTAAGCATTTATAGGGAGTATGGTTTTCCTTGTCTCTTGCAAAAAAATTGTTTTATTGCTTTTTTTAGCATAAAAAACGCAGCTGGGTTTTGTAGATTCAGTTTTTCCAGTTCTTTTTGCGTGGAAATTTTTATAATTTTATCTTTATTAAGTGTTTGGTCCTCTTTATACTTGTGGTATTCAATATCAAAATTTTGAAGGTATCATGATCTAGAAAATGTGCCGGATTTTATTATTCTGCAAAGATTGTATGCGGAGTCGACCGCATCGATTTATGAACAAGGGGACCAGATTGAGTCAATACTAGATGGGCATTGGTGGTCTGGAACCATTGATAAGAAGGAACCATATGACGAAGTCAACTTTCCGAGGTAAAAGATGCTATTAGTGTTTGAGGTTTTATGGGTCTGTTTTTAAATAATATTTTGGGGTGAAAATTGGGAACTTCGTATTATTTTAGCTTATTTGAATTCTTGTTTTAAAAGCTTATTTAGTACGGATTTAGACTGATGTCTGATTTTAATGGAAGATTATCGAGTTACTTTGAGCTTTTTAGGAAGATATTGCTTGTCGTGCAGAAGTTTATTCAGTATATTTTATAGATTTCAGTAATCGAAAAGTGTCAAGCGGAGTATATTTTATAAAAGTTTTTCAAAGTTCAGACGAATTGGGATGTGTCTTTAGAGATTTTTACTTGATTTACTATATTTAATGCATGATAGAAACTGACCTTCAATGAATTTAAATCAGTTTGTTAATGATTCGAGTTTTCTGAAGGGTACTGAGTCATTTAGCGTATCTGCTTCGTTGAGGCGGTTTTACTTTTCTTGTTTTAAAAAATTAAATATTATTTTTTTTATCTTGGCTTTCCTTTTTAAGATCTCATTGGTATTCGCTGACTGTCAGATGGGACAGTGGTGAGGATGAGAAAATGAGCCCTTGGGATGTCCAACTTATTGGTAATGAGAGACGGACAGGTTCATAAAATACTTGTTCTTTGTAAACGTCATTTTAAAAATTGGCTCTATATTACTAACCTTTTTGTTGTTTTGTGGCGCAGACCATGAATTTGTATTATTTTCGACTACTTAATAGAAGACTGTGAGGTTTACTGGAAGGAGATTGCTCAGGGATTGTAATAGCACTTTTATCTGTCGTTTAAAAATCACTATTAATTTGATTAAAATTTCTTATTTTACTGGTTCAGATTTTTCCCTTTCAAAAGAAGGCGCAGTTACAAATATATTTTAAAGGGCAAGCGACTGATGAGGAGCTTTTTGAATACTCTTATGTTCCTCGTTTGGAAGTTGATTGGAGTTGTTGTGGTGGAACAGCAGAGCAGTGCGAAGGCAAACTAATTGCTGCAATTGAGGCTCTTCAAGAAGATGATGATGCTAAACCGTTTTCTGTCCCGGTGGATCTTAAGGATTATCCAGAATATTCACTGAATGTCGACTATCCAGTAGACCTTGAAACAATATCGAAGAGGGCACAAAACAAATATTATAGGTTCCTTTTACCAACATTTCTGCTCCTGGACGGCCTTCTTTTTACCATTTTTTTTCGTTAACTCGCAGCAGTACTAGCTGGAAACTACTTATTTATGATATGAATGACAGCGTATTTTTGTTCAGAAGGTTTACTAGCATGGAGCAAGACATCAAGTATATTGCTATTAACGCAAGTATTTTTAATGAGCCGAAGAGTACTATTGTTCACAATTCGCGGGCTCTTGTGGAAACTCTCATTCGATACCTCAAGTATCCCTTTCTCTCGTTGATCGCGTTTTACTGTTACCGTATGGTTTAATTAGTTGGCTTCTTTTAGGTCCTCCGATGATACCGACGTGCGGGCTTTATTCCAGACTTTGAAGGACGCCCCAGAGCAGGAGTTGGGTGAATATAAGAAACCGTGTAGAATTAAAATTCCTACCAGAACTGAAAACACCTCCGCTTTGACTGTGAACACTTTTGATCACAATTTGGATTTTGCTGTTACCAATTTTTCTGCTCAGGAATGGCTAAATGACTGTGCTCGCATTGTTGACACAATGTCGCGATCTGCTTTTGACGAATTTCTTGTCGACGGTGGCAGCGAAGTCAGTAGTTCATAAGCTGATTACCTCAACTTTCCAGTACTAACTTTATCTCAAATTTTCAAACTTATGAAGGTGTTTAGTGAGTGTTGATTAAAATTTTAGACATTGGGAGCAGCAGCTGCAGATGGAGCTCTCAGTCTAACTTCAATCTTAAGTTTAATTGAACAGAGAAGGTATACTGACCCCCAGCAAGTCGTTGACGATGTGCAGAAGTTGCTGCAGTCATACCGAGAGTTTATCGATGACAACCGTTCCCCTGTACTCATTTCTTGTCATTTTTTATACTTTTCTGACTTTGCTTACTACTTTGAAAAGTTTCTGCATTTAACTTAGTTTTCTGCAAGCAAAAAACAACCTTTCTAAAAAGATATGACAAAGTTTATTTTTAAACTAGATGGAACTCTCTTCAAGGAGTTTTTTCAACTTAAGAAAGGTACTTTTTGTCTGTCCTTCTGCACAGTGGCTAAAGTTTTTTACAGTTATATTTGCAAAGTCTGACGTTCTCCTCTCGATTCAATAACTCGATGGCACCTATCCTCGCGAAGTGGAAACGGTTTCAACAGTTAAATTCTGCTTTACACTCAAATGAAAATGGTGTACCTAGTAGTTGTCGTCTTCGCAGCCGACGCAGGAAGTCTTCTCACGTTTACAATACCCGGTAACTGCTGCATTCAGTGAATTTTTTTTTTGTTTATACTGTTTAAATTGGCTTGGCTTAATCCTTGCTTTTTAGGCAAAAAATAAATGATGACCCCAAGTCAGATGCTTGTCCAGGCCCATCCTCACTACGCAGTGGAAGGAATGCACGTATGCCGAATGGATTTTACCGAAACTTAAATAACGGTATTCATGCTGAAGGTACTGTTCTCATGAAAGTTTCCTGTTTATTCTCTGATCAGGTTTTAGCGTCTGCTCATGAAAAACTTTCTGCCTTCTCTTTTTATTTTTTTATTTTTTTTTGAAAAGTTACTAATTTTCTGCCTGTCACTTTTGCTTAGCAAAACAGTCTTTCACTGTTACGTC